CCAACGCACAAAAGCACCGGATCAAGATGAAAAATAGTGTGCTCAAGCGAATCGACATCTGGCCAGCAGTACAATCACTGCAAAGGAGAATGATGTATCATGGCTTACAAATTAATTTGCAAGATGACATTTTCCTACTTTTCTTATCACACAGGAAAGTAAATACATTTCATTTTTGGTTACAATAGAACTAATTACTCTGGGACAAAAATAACCAAGGACATGAGGCACTCCTTATTAGAATCTGGATCAGATGCAATGTGGATTTTTCTTGATTAACTCTTCTGCTTTTCAGGGCTTTCTTGGTTTGTTGTGGGTTTTTTAAGACTGTTTAGTATTCTAGCTTGCAATGCTACTTTCATGCACAGCACCACACAATCTGGAACTGCCAGGTGTTTTGTTTCAGTAACAAAAACTATTCAGAAGTGGTAGTATTTTCCAAGGAAATCCATTATGTTATCCAAACTTGTATGTTATGTCTCACCAATACACTTGCCCCTTTCCCTAGTAATAACCAAGGGTACAGAAAACAAACTATGATTGAAGCTGCAGTTCTCTGAAAAGAATTCTCCCAGAATGATACTCAAATAACTACAGTGGATACTGCTTTCCAACTAAATTTATCTCAGAAGAGAGCTTGAGCATCCACTTAGTAAAAGCACAACTACTGACATGGAGTTTATTCACATTTTTCCCTTGGATTCACCTACGCATACACGCAATACTCACACTAAGGAAACAGACTTCCTTGCTGGAGGAAAAAACATCAAGAAGAGAACAAAAAAAGAGACAGTAATTGTCTATCAAATGCACTGTAATGTCATTTGCAGGTACAGAAATCACTGAGTAGTTATTTAATGCAAATCCTTTCTTCTGCAGTTCATCTGTGAAAGTGTTATCACCCTACTTAGAGGACCTGCACTGTGCTTGGCTGTTTCTGAATGCAAAGAACCTGGGAACAGAACTTGCTCCCAATAAGAGAGAAAACAAGACTTTTTCAGTTGTTACCCCTTTTCTCTGGTTTTGTGTTCCTTTTAAGCTTTGACAGTAGCAGTGTACAGAATGAGGAAAACTACTCTTTTTATTTATTTATTTTAAAGACACAGTGCAATACACAGAGTGAAACCAAGCAATATGCTGGCAAAGGCACATGAAATAATTAGGTAAATAAATGCTCAATACTAAGATTTAATTGCAACAATAGTATCAAAGCAAAGGCTTCTCTTATACATCCATATATTCCTTCACAATTTTATCCTACCTTTCTATCTTTAGTTTGATTTTACTTCTCTGTCTTCTCCTAAGGTGACCTTTTAGCAACAACAAAGAGTGAACAGTACTTCTAATATACTCTCACTGCAACATTGGCAGGTGGTAGCCCACTTCTGCACTATTATTTCCTCACTTACAAAAATTGCTGCACATCAGCTTCATCTCCCAGCACTTTTTATTAAAGTTAAACAGTTATTCTTGCGTCTACAGAAACATGCCTTTGAGATTTCTCCCAGGCAGCTTCTTGAAATTAAAATCAAACAAGGGAAAACTCTAAAACTAGGCTTACCATGCCTCCAGTTTGTTTCAATTTATGGGACTTAAAAGTCTTTCCAAGGGACTGCCTAAGGCTTGCCTTTAACACACTATCACTTATCAGCAGTGGCTCTTCTAATATTCCCCCTCCCTTTGGGAAGAAGATGCGGCATGAAACTTTCACAGCATTCTTGTAATTCCAATTACACCACTGATGCACCACTCTCTGCTGCTAAGGTGTACCTTCTTAATTTGTAGTTTTGCTAGCAAAACATTTGCTAGATATCAAGGAAAAAGCCATACACCAAGAAGTCAGGAAAACAGCAGCAGGGATCATAGAAATAAAGGACAGCATCCTCCACAGAGATCACCTAAATAGAGTTTTTTTTGGGGTTTTTTTTGCCTCACTATGCTTCCCATCCATAAGAAACTATGGCATCACAGATGGGAATATGTCAGACAAGGAAGTTTCAGGCATTAATCTATTGCTAACAAAAATTACTGACCCAGTGTGAAATATTAGTGTTTACCTCTACGGGAGCCATGAAATGAATCTTTCATGATAACCTGACAACTATGAGAAGAGCATTGTGTATACAACAGCATGGCACACAAACACGCCTTTCTATCACAGGGAATTTAAAACAAAGTAGTATGACAGACTTCTCTGACACCATCCCAACACGACAGTTATTTCCATATTTCATATCTTATTCTACAAAAGCTCTTAAAAAATATGGTCACTCCTCCCTACTCATACATTTTTTTCCCTGTGGCAGAATAAAGAAACTGCTACAAATAAACAAACACCTCCTTTCAAGTTCTAGGTTTCAGTGCTGCAGTTTTCTAATGGATAAAAAATTACCATAAGCTGTGCTGTGAGTGCTGGAAGAGGCCATCCAATACAGTAAATGCAGCATAATTAGGTTATACATTCTGACTGAGTTCCTTTGGTATAACAAATATAACAACAGGGTGAGTTATGCCAAGCCAACATAAACACTTTGCTTACCCCAGTGACAAACAGCTTCATATCAACACTCTGGGCTGCCCATTCTGTCTACTCCCAAACTGACTTCACCTGCACAGCTCGTAAGTAAACTCTACTCCATGTACTAAAATCTAAATCTTGAGTGTCATTGACAAATCCAGCCATGACAAGCTAGTATAGTATTGAAGCCTACTTCAAATGCTTTTCCAAGTGATCTCGAATCCCTATTAAGTGCTCCACAGAACCATTTTTAATAAATTTTGCTCCTGCAATATAGTAATTTAACAGAGGTCCCATTAAAAAAAACCAAAACACTGCACATATTACACTCAACAGAACATCCTTCAGAACCTTATACACTTCTATTTGTATCACTTCTATTCCTCGCCTCCCTTATGCACTAATCTAATTCATCTGTCAAGGATGTAAACTAAACAGTTTGACACAATTTTCTCCCTGGCAAAATTTATGTTGTTTAGCTGTCTTCCCTTTACTCATTATCTCCTAGGTGCTCATAAACTGCATCACAATTTTTACTATTATCCATGTAGCTGCAGGTAAGTCATTCTACAGCTGAAGAGAAACTCAATGTGGCCCCATGGAGAGCTCAACCTAATCAAATATAGCAGGCTTGGGTCTAAAAGGAATATAACCACAACCCAAAAACCAAGTTAAGTTCTGCCAGTTCTTGCATGTCCTCAGAACTGGAAGAACAGGATGCATTAAGTGCCAAGGAAATATTTACTACGAAAGTATCTGAATAGCAGATCGGGATTCTAACAAGACAATCTACACAGAGTGACAAAATAGTCTGCATTCAACAGGTCGCTTGAAATCAAATGCTTTTACTAAGTCAAGAGGTAGACTACCACGAGTGGAGATGAATTTTTCATCTTCTTTTATTCTCCATAAAGTGGTATATATGTCTCAAAAAAATCTAAACACAATAGGTTGAAGGGAGCTAGGTATTTCATATTGAAGTAAAAAAAAAAGGTGTATTTCTGTCAGACGCCCTTGTGGACAGGTTTGTGGTTTTTGTTAATGAATGAAACATTGAAAACAAAAGCAGCAACACAGAACTAGAATGAAAGCATTGATGCTGAAGTGCAGGATTTCACATGGAAGGATGTGCTTTGGGGTTTCTGTCTTCTTGTATGCTTTTGTTGAATTAGAAGTGATACCTCACCCTTGAACAATTTACAACTCTCATTTTTATATGAAAAAAGATAAAGATGGCAAGAATACATCAATGACTAAAGCTCTTGGTAAGAAGTGGCAGCACTTGCAGTTGTTAAGCTCTTCATGCCTCGAAGAGGGATGCCACAGAGAAAGACAAGTAACATTTCTTTGTCTTTCCCCACTGGGTCACCTTTTCACTTTCAGTGTCTGTGACATGCTGCAGCCTTTTCGCCACTAGGCTGTTTTTTTCTTTTTGCTCCAAAAGGGTTTGTATGTCAAAGGGTATCCTAGCAAAGCTTGGACATTACTCTTCAGTAGTCACACCACACACACACACACACACACCTATCCTTGTAAAGTAAGCTAACAAAGATTAGAATCCTTTACAGTAAAGCAGACACATTTAATAGATTTTAACTCAACTGCTCCTATAGAAATTCACCTCTTTGCTTCAGGACTACACTTCAAGCCTACCTCTTCCCTCTCCCCTTCCCACTACTCCATCTAATTTTACTTGCTACATTTGTGGTTCATCAACAAAACCAAGCCTTACTGAATTTAACAGCTCCACAAGCTTTTTTTTTACTTCACCAGTTAAAAAGTAATCCACTAGGTGATATATCTACTTAATTCTTGGTAACTTTCCAAAAAAACATGGAAGTAAACTAGACTGAAAGTTCTAGCTGCAAAACGAAGCCTCTTGTAGGCTGTAATATTTGTAGGAGGATTAGAGCTCTGGGGAAAAACATTCACAGCAAGCAGTCTATACAGTTTGTACAAAACCAAGTACACTGGGATATTACACTGAAATACAAGTCACTTGAGGCAGAAGAAGAGATAACACTACCTCTGTGTTGATACAGAATGGACCCTTCCTAGCCTGTTAACTCTATTGAAGATCAGTAGTATTCTTCTCTCAAAGTAAAAATGAGAGACTTGAGAAATTCAAAGAAGAATCAGGCACTACACACTCATGTATTATGATCACTTTTACCCTTTTTTTTAACCTGTTGATGAAAATCTCCAATTTTAATGCAGCTTGTCTCTGAGCATGCATTACACCCACACAACTTTCTGTGACCACCCAGCAATGTATTTCCACAGCATTCCCACAAATAAACAGAATCCTAAATTTTGTTTGGGTAGAGCAATTTTAAGCTGACTGTATTCTGACAGTGCCTGAATTAACTCCCCTTCTGTGACAGGCAAATGAACTGCTTCACACAGAATTTATTGAAGGGTGTGTCAATTACAAATCAAAAGGCAATTTCCATAAAAGCTCTTCAACATTCACATCACTAACCTCTACAGCATTCCTGGGATCAGGGCAAACAGCTTCAAGAGAACAGGGCCCATTCCTTTCAGAGGTTTCTCTTCAACACCAAAGCTGCTCTCTCACTAGGTAAAAGAGAAAAAGGTTAGAATATAAATGTGACAATGAAGTCACAGAGATCTGCTCTTCTGAAATGAATGGGGAGTCATTCCTATGACAACTGGACTTTCACAAACTAAGGAATCTTTTAAATAGCTCTGGAAAAAGGAACAGTAGCAAACTAGAAACTGACAACACAGCAGTATTTCTCTGATTAAATGACACTCACTGAGAGCACATGAAGTGCTTAAAGAGTTAATACAAAGCACAAGCCCAGTAATTAATGCACTGACAGCCAGTGATCACCAAGAGCATCCCTCTGAGGAACCAAGTGACTTCTCATCATTACAGCAGAGGAATAAGAACTAAGCTACATTGATACTAACCCAGCTGAGCAACTCTGAAGATACTGAACACACAGTTTTCCCTGGCCTCTCCCCTAGTTTGTCTGCCTCTTATTTTCAGAGTTATAAAATATTCATCTTAGAACTTGCAAGCAGACACACACAAGCCAACAAGGGGCACCAAGTCTGAGCTCACTTCAGCACAAGGTTCTCTAGCTAACCCAGACAGATGGTAGAGGCAGTAAACCCAGGAGTGGCAACTGTAGGACCTGGCAAATAACTAGGTGAAATGCTGCACCTTGGTTATTGGCCACGAGTTCACAGACCTCTGATTATTTTACCTCTGATTCCCAGCCAGTCCCATTTGGTATTATTAGTACAGTGTTCCTACACTCTGGAGGACTACCCAATACAGGCATACCTAAAGCACCTGGAAAAACTTTATAATACAATTTATATCATTTATTGTTTAAATATTTTGTACATTAAAAGAGCAGACAATATTTTGTTGGGGGAAAATCAACTTGGGTAAAAAAAGCAGTACGGCATCAGGTACCTTTGAAAGGCTTTGTAAGAGAGATGGTACTAACATGGAAATCTTGCTCACAATGATGTGGCAGAGGCTTAAACAAGATAAAATTTTGTTACTATGTTGTTCTATGCTCTAAAATCTTAAGTAACTTGCTGGCTAGTTCAAGTGTTCAGCATTAAAAACTAAAGGAGAATTTCTCTCTTAACTCCATCGTCCACGAAGCCTTCTCCCTCCATCTACTAGTTCATCTACTCACGGGGAAAGGTAAGGAACTACCAGCCACAACCAAATACCACCTGTGTGCACAGCATGTAAAACTGTAGAAATTGGACCATGAAACTCAGAAATACCAAAAGTAAGGAGAGCACTTGGATTTTATCTCTGCAGAAGCAATTAAATATGTAAACTAAGATGATAAACAAAATGTCCTTTTGTCACAGGAACAATTGCTGGACAAACCTTAAAACAAATAAGGAACTGCCAGTTCAGCTATCTTCATTTCACCCTTTTAAGAACTTTATTGTATAACCAAATGCCTCTCAGGTTCAAAATGATAGACTTTTGTTTTTAAATACAGACAATGGAGGTTTCAGGCTCCAAATCAGATCAGGCTGTGATTGCATTGAATTTAATTAACACTTACTGTATTTGCAAAGCTCAAATGACCAATTACACTTTAAGTACACAAAACCCACAAGCTTCCTTGAGCAGAAATTAAAGGGTAGTATCAGCATCTTTTCTAGCTAAAACTGTAAAAAAGTCCATGAGGAAGTACAACCTTAAGACAGCTTGCAACCCTCTTTCATATGTGTTATTTACTTGGTTGTGAACCAAAGGTTTGTCTATGGTTTATGTATATTACCACAGTACATTTGGAATGCCTTGTCTCTAAGTCCTGATTCCCTTACATTTATCCTACTTCCATATTTTGTCATGGTCACAATAAGCTTGAGAAAGACTTTATTAAATGTATCTGCACAAAGTTAATTGTTTTGATTTGCAGTCTCAAAACCAATAAACACAGGGGAGCAGGAGGCCCTACTTAAGCATAGTTAACAAGAACTAAACGCCTTCTGTGGTGCCAAAAAATAAAACACTCCTACTTTACTTCCATCAACCAATCTTTAGTACTGCCCAAGCTTTAATTCTCCCTGTGCTCATCAGTTAGCAAAAGTGGCTGCAAGACCAATAGCAGATACCATCTATACTGCAGCAATGAGTAAAAGAAAGATGTTTTCAACCTTGAATATCCCAAAACACAAACATCCTCTGAAGAAATGCAACTAAACTAAGCAACAAAACAGGTTAGTTTTGAACCCACCAGTCACAAAGAGCAAAACTGTGGAAGCATCAAAGACAGTTCAAATGACTCCTCACATCCTCCAGCCTAGTGGAGGCACAGAAGCCTTCAAGAAGAAATAGTAGCTACTCTGACAAATACTCTGCTGCAAGTTCTGAGAAAGGAGAACCAGTTCTGGTCAGCATCAAGAAGGTGGCATAAGCTTAGTCACCTTCCTGCCTTATCGAGTCTTCAGTGTAAAGGAGAAGTATCTCTGGAAATTATACTGACTGGCATGTTCAGTAAAACCTTTCTTGGATGAAAGGATTATGTTTTTCAAACAAGATTCAGATTTAGCTTTCCTGGATGATCTTAGGGCATTCACCCTCTCTCCATCTGAACTAGACTCCTGAATTTCCACAGGGACAATGGATCTCCTGGCAACATGCAGACAATATGGTACTCCATGGCTATGCTGCCTCCAGGCTTATTTGTCCATCTCTGTCCATTAAAAGGGTGCAGAAAGGAAAGTAAGTACACCTTAAACCTCTCCAGACAGGCAGCACCTTGCTCTCTGGCTAATGACTTTCCCATCTGCAGATCACACACTATCCAGAAGTTGCTCAAACCCACAACAGAAAAGCAGCACAGCAAAGAACCAAACTGCCCATTCCATATCCAGTGTCTCCTCCTGACCACTCCAAAAGTGCCTCAAGTGGAAATTACCTCATGAAAAAATACACCATAAGTAACAAACACAATAGGGAGTTACAGTGGTTCTACTTGCAGTGCAAAACGAACAGGGTGGTGATTTTTCCTCCCCAGAATGCTGCAGGGTGGTGATTTCTCCTCCCCAGAATGCTGCACGCACAGGTAGCGTCTGATTGAGCCGATGGCAATGCGATGAGGTCTGCGTCACCTCGTTTTCATGACCCACCACTGAACCCTGGCAGCAGCCCTGTCTATTATTTTCCAGAAGCGTCATTCAGTACATTTCCAAGTGTCATTCAGCAAACAAGTCTCAGCCATCAAAAACACCCCCACCCATTGCTTACATAAAGCTCCCTGCTGCACTGGAGGGCTTTCCTTCAGTTCAAAGAGTTGGAACATATAATTTGCAACTATTTTCTCAAAACATAATATTAGGGTGGCCAGCTTGAGCGTGACCAATAAAAGCTAAGTGACACTTCGCTGCAGTTACCATACATTTTAACAGACATCATTTTCAGACAACTCCCAATCTACAGGCAGTTCTTGAAGAGTTTACTTAGGTAATCTAATTACATAAGATAATTAAAAATATTTTTTCCATCATATGAATAAAAGCTTTTTGGCTTTTCTAAATGCAAAGTCCATTGGCTGGACATGTACTTTATAACAAATGCACTCTAGAATTATGAGGGGTTTTTTTGTATAGACATGTTGAACTGTTTCTTATCCAAATACACTTCTTCAGAACCAATGCTAAAAAGTTTAAATCAAGTTCTAAAATTATGTATTTATGATTTGAATAACTTCTCTCAGCTGTCATTATTCCTTTTTTCTTGTGAATTAAATAATTTGCTTGCTGTAATGAATGTTTCCAGACCTACATCCTATTAGGTATTCAACCAGGTGTTTTAGGTCTCTTATTATTTTGCCAGAGTATTTCAGTACTGACTATTTCTAGGGCTTAACAAAACAAATAAAATTTGATTGCTACCCCCACCAGACATCATAGAAAAAGTGCTAAATAACAAAACCTCAGCAATCACAAACTACTTGGTTCCTGCAAAGAGGAACACTGATCAAGTAACACCATTCAAATTTGCTTTTATATACATCTTATTTCTGAAAAAGAAATACAAACATTATGCAGACTTCTATCTTAGTTACTTTCCCCTTATTTATTTTCCAAGTATTCCTCTGTGGATAAACTATGTTTATCAACTTTATGCACACCATTCTGGTGCCATCAGAAAATTAAAAAATTAAAGTCCTACAGAAGCATAAGGTTTCTTCTGTGCCTACACACACCACAGGTATTCAACAGAAACCTATTCACATCTAACCAGCCATTTTCCTCCCAAAACTCACTCACATGTTTTGTGAGGAGTCAAAGGAAGGAGGAGTCAAGGAAGACATTACATATAAACTGTCGTTGATAGGAATTACAGTAGCTGAGTGCTAGCACTTACTCCACATAGTATAAAGATAAAAATCCTGCCTGTGATGGAAAGAAATCAAAGGGATCATAAACATGTGATCCAAGTACATTTTCTGCCTTTTCTAGCAGAGATGTGTGCTTAGCATGCATTCTCGACCTCACTGGTTCACTTTCAGACACACTGCAAGGGATGTGATGCCAAAGCCTGCCTTCAGCCAGATGAGGTCAGAGGTCAGCATCACAGACCAGCAGGAGCCTGGATTTGAATTCACACTGCCTACTATGATGAGAAATAAGTTTGGCAACAATGTATTTCTGCTGTACATAAAATCTGGGAGAAGAAACACAAATGTGGGCAGTATGTTGTAAAAGTATCCCCAGCTGTTTTAACAACAGGATCAGGATGGAAGACCCAGATGTTTTCCTCTGACAAAGACAACACCTTAAAAACCAAAGCATTCTTTTGCTTTTTGTTTATAAACATAACTCTCAGCAATCTTGTCACATCTCCCAATGAATGCATGCTTCCTAGTGGAGAGTCCATTAACCTCCTGATCAGGGAGGATGAAGGAACACATTAAGGCACGCACTTCACTTTCTCAGAGATTAACCCCATAGGTTCACAGTAAAACAGCAAAAATAGCACAGCCAAGTCTACAGATACTTGTCACAACAGACTGCTCTAAAATTTTTCACTGACTATAATTCCACCCATCTTCATATTA